AGCGCCCTTTGCTGCGCAGTTCGGCTGTATCATACGTAAGGTCTCCAAGAGTCAGCAAAGACTTGTAGGCAACAACTTGCCACTTTTCTTTCTAGTAGAATCTCCTGTTTCTCTCATCATCCAAGATGAAAACTCTGCAGTGACATTTGGAGACATTAGTATAGTCAGTTTGTTAGTGAATTTTTTCATAATATCACTTCCATTTTTGGTCAACATCTAATCTGATGCTCTTGCCTATTGTTTCATCCAGAGCAGTGTGAAGATTCGGAGGAGCCCTGGTGGTGTACTGATAGTAGCACTGGTGAGTGACCACAGTGTCAGCAGTTCAGCACCACCAGTGACTGTAAAGAAAGATGAGGCTGTCTGTTCTCAGAAAGATGTACAGTCTCAGAAACCCACAGGGGCAGTCTACTCTGCCCCGTAGGGTCACTGTAAGTCAGAATTGACTCAATGGCAGTGGGTTTTGGTGAATATGGTTTAGTAGTTAAGAACCTCAACTTTAGAATCTAACATACTCTGATATAAAGTTCAACCACGCCATTTCTTTGGACCAGTGTGACTTTGGATTGGTGATCTCCTTCTGTGTGCTACGTGTGCCTCTCTGTTTAATGAAGATAACAATGGTTTCTTCAAATAATTATTGTCTGGCTTACATGAAGTGCTGTCTTTAAAGCCTAGGCAGAGCCCCTGGCCTGCAGTGTTTAAGCATTCGACTATTCCTGGTGGTATTCTTCACCCTGTCTGGCCTGCATCTTTCTGTTCCCATGGTTAGTTCAAAATGATTCATCAGAACTGCTATTCCTTACAAAGTGATTTTTATAAAGACTCAAAGGACTTATAAAGTTTAAACCTTAAGCCTAAATAAGATTCAAAGCTACCTTTTATTACGTGCGTACCATGGATGTCCTCCAGTTTGCAAAGCAAATGGTGGGGTAGCCGGTATGGTAGACAAGAAATCTAGGTTCCTTGATGCAAGCATGGGTACTTAACACTTAAAGCTAGTATAAGGTGACCAGACGTCCCACTTTTGGCGGGACAGTCCCGAGGTTTTACAATTTTTGTTCCTGTGTTCCACGGTGTTTTTAAAAAAAGTCCCGATTTTTGGGAAGAATGCACGACAAGCTAGGGTATACGGTTTTCTGCTGCCATGTGGCTATTTCGCCAGGATCTGAGTTTTATCACTGGTGTCCCGCTTTACCAATGTTCAAATCTGGTCGCCTTAAGCTAGTAGTGTGTAGGTTGATGTTTGGATTTTACTCAGCGCTATTCTAAATGTCTTCTTTTTGTCATCCTACCATATTGCTTATAACCCCCTCTACTAAAAGGAAATAAAAATGAATTCCTTGACCTGTAATTGCACAAATGTTCCCGGTGAAAGCGAACCCGTTGTTACTCTGCAAGGAGTTTCAGTGCTGAATGGTTCTACAGCTTACATAGTTTCTGAGTGTATTGTTGTTGGAACCTGGCCCATATAGTCCCTCTGCCCCCAGTCTGTTTGTTTTAAATAAGACCTACAGAGAGCAGGATGAAGCTCTTTCACCTGCTAGTCCTTTTATGTTGTCTATGGCAGCGCAAGGACAATATTGCTTTCCCACTATAAATAACTTTTTTTCCTTCTGATGGCATTCCTTGAGCCTATACATTTTGGAATATAACTATGGATTTGCCCCTTGTTCTCCTGCCCCCTAACATGCATGGCTTCTTTTCCTATTTAGATTCCCTTCATTTTGGAATAGAACGTTATTTAACAGGTGTGATATTCCATGCATTCTGAAAGCTTTCTACCCCATTTTTAGCCCTTTGGTTCAGAGCCAGAAACCATACGTGGACCTAAGTACATGCTAGATTTCCCTGTGCACGCTTAGCACTGGCGCATCCCCTGCTCCTGTGCAAACATCTCTGACATATGCTTCCCACTCAGGCAGTCCCAACAGGCTGCTCTGGGTGTTCTGGCTGCAAACTTTATCAGGAAACAGAGCAGCCAAGGAAAGTGATGTTGTTTTTGGTATAAAGATCTGAGGATTCCTAAGAGTCTATATTTGAGTTCTAAAGTGGGGGGAAAGGTAAATGACTGAACTTCCTATGGTTGTTAAGAGTGATCTTGGCGTACGATCGCTTTAGCAGTAGGTCTGTCGATTCGTAGGAGATGGTGCTCATTTACTGTCAATTGAGTACATACTGTGGTCATTTTTCACTGAGGATGTTTAACTGTTGATTTGTTCTTGCCTCCGAAATTGGAAGCACTTGTACAGAGAAAACCCCTTTTTGCCTAGTAAATCATAGATCTGTGCATTGTGTTAGTTATATAGAACACTTATGACTCATGATAATCTAGGTCATTTATTGAGCACCTACTGTATGTATTGTACTCCACACCATAAGTGGGACAGAGAGGAATACAGAAATGTAAACAACTGATTACAGTGTCATATGGAATAAGACACATGCCTTGTAATTGAGGTTCAGACAGGCAACCACACGAACACAGATCAGTTATTTTTGGTTAGGGGGCCAAGTTATATTTATTTAAGTAGTGCTGTATAAGCTAAGGCTTGAGGAAGTGGTGGGCTTCAAGAGCTAGAGAAAGAGGTAGCGGGTCCCACTAGATGAGGGAAGAGTGTGCAAGGGTTGGCAGGGCTGGGCATGGGTTGATGGGAGATGAAGTTGGCAGCGATCCCTGCCAGGTATCGCTTTCTCCAGATGGGCCTTGATGGGGAGACTCTCAGGGTTTGAAATTCAAACAGGCAGTTGGGGATAGGTCCAAGGTGGATTGCAGAAGTGCCACACAGACATTGAGGACTGATTGGTGATTTAAAGGAGCTCTGCGCAGCAGGCTTAGGCAGCTGGAGTGTAAAGAAAGGAGGCATTTGAGTGAACTTTCAGAGGTCCAAGGGACAGAATTTTGCAAGTGTGTTGCTGTGCAAAAAAGAGAGATGGAAGAATTGAAAACAAAAATATTACTAGATGAGGTACCCAGAAAAATAACGTGTCCAAAAAATGAGCTTTGCATATGGTGGGCAGGGGTGGGGGCAGCCAGGGCGAGGCCTGGGGGTGGGGCACAGAGCTGTGGGTTTAGTGATGCTTTGGCAAGGTGCCAACATGGATATTAAGCTCATTGCTTGGGAATCCCTGGCCTAGCAGCTAGGAGTGAAAGATTAGGACTTAGGGATCAGACTTGCCATGAAAGAACTCTTTAAGGCCATATGGGTAGAGGGCCTTCCAGCAGAGTAGAATGAGAAGACCTGGAAAAGAATCCCTCCTTTAAGGAGTGAATGGAGGAGGAACCAGAACATTTAATGTCCAGAAAATGAGTTTCCGCAAGGATTCAGAATAGTGCCTATGTATAGGGCTTCTGAGACTTTCAATCTTTATGGTAGCAGATAGCCCCAAATTTCTCCCGTGAAGCAGACGGTGGATTTGAACCTCTCACTTTTGGGTTAGCAGCCCAATGCCTAATCCATAGTGTCACCAGGGCTCCAATTCACTGGGTCAAATCTGACAGATGCCATAACTGAGAAGAGGCATTTGATTAGGACAAAACTCTGAGTCTTACTATAAATGTCTTGCCTTTTAGGATATTTCATTGTAGGTGTATTGAAACTGCACAAGTAGATAAATGTAATGGTCCACCATGTACCCATGATTTCAATGATCAATATTGTATTACTCTACTTCCGTGCCCTTCCCCAGGTTGGGGAGTCCAAGAGGAGGGCGGAATACATTAAAGCAATATTAGCTTCATGTCATTTCTCTATTGTTTGGGTTCCCACTAATTCACAAGAATACATGTTTTATGTAACTAATAAACCATTAGAAACCCCGGAGGGTGCAAAGGTTAAGGAGCTTGGCTACAAACAAGACAGGTTGGAGACTCCATTTCACCAAAAGGCATCTCAATAGAAAACCGTGGCAATTTACATCCAAAAAAATCTGCCATCGAAACCCTGGGACACAGTTCTAGCCTAACATACAGGGAATTACCATGAGTTGAACTTGACACAATGTCAACTGATAGTGATGTGGACTAAGACATTATCTTACCAAACAAAGGCCAACAGCATACTAATTTTTCCTCCACATCACTCACTACGACTTTTTCCTGGATGTACGTACTGTGGAGTGAGTAAGAACTGCATTACCGACACTTAAACCTTCTGGAGAGAGGCTCACACTCCCTGGTGATGAGCTGGTGTGTGAAGTGGGCAACGTGATGTGAGGAAGACAATGAAATGTTCTCTACAAAAGATGCTTTTCCTACATGGCTCACACTGGATTGTGATGGGAGGCGGTGTTTTATTTCATTTGTATCTTTATCTCTGGGAACAGCAACAATAGTCTTAACATTGGTCCGCGTATCCTTTCAAACCAAATTCAGTGCCATAGAGTTGATTCCAACTCATAGCAACCATCTAGGACAGGATAGAACTGCCCCTTTGGGTTTCTAAGACTTTACATTCTTTTAGGAGCAGACTGCCTCTTTCTCCCAGGGAGCGGCTGGTGATTTTGAACTACTGACCATGTGGTTAGCAACTCAGTGAACAGCCCAGTACACCGCTAGGACTCCTTTCTCATCCAGAAAGCATATGAATTAAATCCCGTATCCAAAGGTTTGGGTATGTGGCATGGTTTTGCCTCCTCTGACGCATGTACTGCCCAGCTCCCTGTGCTAGGAGCGAGGCCCACTGGGGTGATTTTGCTCCTCTAAGGATATTTAGTAATGTCTGGAGACATTCTTGATTGGGAAGAAGCCAGAAGAGCCCAAACAGTACAGACTTCAGCCAATACAGATCAATAGTCCTGAGGTTGCGAAACCCAAACATTGGAGGAGGTGAAAAGTATATTCCAAGCGAGAGCTGCTCTGTGCAGTGTGTTACATCACGTGTCTGTGCCAGGTTGACTGAAAAATGTTTCTTTCTTCCTTGGAGAGAATGTATTGATTAGTCATTTGTGGCAACTAAGGGAGAACTACAAAGTAAGTGCGTCACCTTCTTTATTTGTAGGAAATACAATTGGAGCATGCAAAGCAAGCATTTGTGCAACGAGATAATGCCAAGACCGGAAGAGTCACAGCCATGGACTTCCGAGACATCATGGTCACCATCCGTCCCCATGTCTTGACACCGTTTGTAGAAGAATGTCTAGTAGCTGTAAGTTGTAACCAGCTTGCTCTAATAAATCAATTAGTTTTACTCAGCGTAAGCTCAATAAATAAGTGATTCTAAGAATAATTCTTATAATGTACATGGATTTTTTTGTTTAAACATTAATGTTTTCTTAATACATAACCAGACTCACCTCTATAATTCGTCAAATTTAGTTGGTCTGTTATTTTTAATTTTTGATCTAAATAATATGGAATATCTTTGTTAAATGTATTAGTGAGCTAAAGAAAAAGGAGACGAGAAATGGAATTTGTGGTCCTGTCTTTATAGGATTTTAATTCTGATACACAGCTACTTCTATATCATCTCCAATATAAAAGTTAAAAAAAGAAATTCATGCATGCCTGTATTGCCTTGCTCAACTAGTGAGCGAAATAGAAAACTAAACCTGATATGTTCACTCACTGATTATTGAAGTTGCTGTAGTGGCCAAGAGGCCCTGGTGGCACAGGCGATTACAAGTTCGGCTGCTCACCATAAAGCCAGCAGTTGAAACTCACTGGCCACTCTGGGAGAAAGATAAAGGTTTACAGCTTTGGAAACCCAAAGGGACACTTCTTTTTAGCCCTACATAGGGTCATTATAGGTCAAATTGACTTAATGGCAGTGATTTTTTTTTAATAGTGGTAGAGATGATACCCCCTTGCTGTGTATCATTCTCTAGGAGCCTCCATTCTAGTGGATGTTCAGCCCTGACCCTACCTGATGGTCCCCACGGGCATCTTACAATATTCCATGGCATTGGCGTAGAGCATCAGAATCACCAAGAATAGCTTGAGAAATAGATTCGAAGGTCTCTTCAAAGCCTACTGATTTCAGCATCCATATGCGGTGAGGTCTTGGAATCTCTTAATTTCAGAAGCTTCCTAGATGATTCTAATGATCAATCAGATATGGGAGCTATTGCCCCCATTTGAAACTCTCCTTTGAAAACAGTCAAGTCAGAGAAATAGCGCGTTGAGTGATTTCACCATCATCTGGGCTTCCCCACAATTTGAACTCTGTAAATTACTACTGGTCCTGTTACACGGCTCACCAAAGGAGCCATTGGCTTTTGCTGTTTTCCCTGCTGCCCCCTTTTGACGATGTGAATCCAAACATAGCCTTTTTCCCTTTGGCATGCATGACACTGATATGGCTCCTGCTCTGGGCCCCATGCCCTACCCCACTTTAAACGCTCGTGTCAGCTATTTTAAATGATTACTAAGTGAAGATTTATGTGGTTGTTACCTTATTAAGAAGTGCTTTCCTAACAAAAATATTTTTCCTTGTTAGGAAAGTTTAGAATTTGAAACCCCCAACTGAAGTTTCCTTCATAGTAGACAGGCCGTCTGTTTCCCTGGTTCCATGTGAAGATATGTGGTTGCTTAACAAATTCTGATTATTGAAATTCTGACCAGTCTTGCCCCCCCAATCAAAGAATTGACATCTCATAATTTTACCATAATGCACTTGTTTGTTAGAAATCCCACCAATGTAAAGTCTATAGGTAAATGATTATTTATTGCTAGTAAGAAGTAACATGACAAGTCTTGATATTAATGTTAGATTGACTACTTTTCCTAGTATTGTTGCATTTCTATTCTATAGTTTTACATCTGTGAGTGTGTATAATACAGTTTTGCATGCATAAGCCTTTAAGATTTGCTCGTTAGGTGAAATAAACCAACTTATAAAACATTTCCAATTGAAATATGAACTCTGTAAATTACTACTGGCCCTGTTGTTATAAATCCTACACATGCATGTATTTAGTCTTCTAGGAGTTGTGTGGAGAGTACATATTCTGGTCATGATTAGTTGCAGTTACTTTTTAAAATTATATGTAGTTTTTTTTTAATGTAAAAGAAAATAATCATGAGCATTTCTTCTTCTGTGTGCATTCTCAGATTACTCCCAAAGTAGAATTTGATATATGTATGTCTGAATCTTCGGTGTTCTATAAATCCTTTGTTTATTTTTCCTCTTCTTTGTCTTGTTTTCAACTTACTTAAGGCTGCTGGAGGTACCACAAGCCATCAAGTTAGTTTCTCCTATTTTAATGGATTTAATTCACTTCTGAACAACATGGAGCTGATCAGAAAGATCTACAGTACTTTGGCTGGCAACCGGAAAGATGTAGAAGTGACAAAAGGTGAGTGAGAAGTTTTCCGAATCCCTGCGCTGGAATAAAAGTATGGAGGTGGCTTCAAAAAGCTCATGGCAAAAAGGAATGAAAAGGTAATAGACATTTTCCGTGAACTTTTTGAAGTTCCTCTAGCATGTTGAGCCATTATCATTAAGGTTAGGAGGACAACCAAGAAGATTATATTATGGATCTATCTCATGGACACATATTACCATCAATAGGTTATATGACAAGTACTCACCATCTTCTAAGCAGAAAAACCAACAAAAATAATATGCAGCAAGTTTTAAATAAACTAAAGGGAATCTTTGGTGAGGAAGGCATGCAACAAAATTCCCAATGTTCTAGAATATTCCTCGACCGTAAACTAGTGTGTCAGCCTCACACATGGCCTTAAGAAGTAGATGAAGAATTCTATCAGTTTGTGCTGATGACCCTGTAAGTTGGTCTACCATTTTGAAGCGAGATATTATCAGCATTTTAATAGGACTTCTTAGCAATAGAACATTTCCTTAGGATTCCCAACACTTTCTTGACTATAACTCCCTGGCATGTGTGTAGATGGAGGGTCATAGATGCTCCCTTGTTTTCTCTGACCTTCCATTTGATTCACATCCTAGGTCATATGTGCTATGCCTTCAGATGGCACTAAGCTTTTCAGCTAAGAATTTGAGAAAGCATACTGCACCCTCTTTCCAGAGGAGTGAAGGAATTGAACCATTCTTACCCTATTTCCATTAACTCAAATTCCATAGCTGATAAAAAGAAAGTTTTGTGATAGTCCCGCACTCCAGTTGATGCTGAATTTAATGGCAGTTCTTTCTCACATCTTGCTCTTTCAACTTTTCTCCCCATTCAGAGGAGTTTGTTCTGGCGGCGCAGAAATTTGGTCAGGTTACACCCATGGAAGTGGGCATCTTGTTTCAGTTAGCAGATTTATATGAGCCACGGGGGTAAGTTGGGTTTTTTTTTTTTCCCCCATTTTCTTTTCTTTCTTTTTTTAAAAATCAGTCTTAATAAAAGGTTAGGAATTGGAGGTAGGAGAAGGGCAGCAATCACATTGTGGGGGGGGGCACAAAATTAAACCTGCTCTGAACTATGACATAAAAATGATAAACAAGGGGCCATCTAACTGAGAAACAACAAAGCCCTCATGGAAGAAGCACACCAGCCTGTAAGATGACAAGGCGGCGAAGGGGTCAGGTATCGGGCATCAAAGACCAAAAAAAATAAAAACAAAATCATAGCATTGTGAATGAGGGGGAGTACAGAGTGGGGACCCAGGGCCCATCCTGGGGGAAATTGGACATCTCCTTGCAGAAGGGCTGCGGGGAGGTGAGGAGCAAATCGGAATGCAGTGTAGTAAAGATGAAATGTGCAATTTTCCTCTGATTCTTAAATGCTTCCTCCACCCCACTACCATGATCCCAATTCTATCTTACATATCCGGCTGGACCGGAGGATGTGCACTGGCACAGATAGGAACTGGAAATACAGTGAACCCAGGACAGATGAACTTCCCAGGACCAGTGGAGAGAGTGGCAATGGTGGGAGGGTGGAGGGAAGGAGAGGAAGAAAGGGGGAACAGAGGACAAGGTCTACATGTGGCCTCCTCCCTGGGGAACGGAGAGTGGAGAAGCGGGTGAGGGAGACGTTGGATGGGGTAAGATATGCTAAAATAATAAATTATAAATTATCTGGGGGAAGGGGGGGAGGGGGAAAAATGAGCTGACACCAGGGGCTCAAGTGGAAAGCGGGTGTCGTAAGAATGATGAAGTCAACATATGTACTAAAGTGCTGGACACAAATGACTGTATGTACAGATTGTGATGAGTTGAATGCACCCCTAATAAGATAATTATTTTAAAAAATGATTTGTTTGTAAATTCCACATGTAGAAGGTAATCAATTGGTATTTTTGCTGTTGTTTGTTTGTCCCTCCAGGCGACTGACCTTAACAGACATTGAACGGATTGCTCCCCTGGAAGAGGGAACTCTGCCCTTCCACTTGGCCGAGACCCAGAGGCAGGTGGGTGACGAGCAGCCAATGTACTTCCTGTTTGTTCTTTCTCTCATAGGACATCCCAGCTCCTGCCCATTTGCAATTGCCTTTTTGACATGGGTTTCTAACGTACGTAGCACTCTCCATGTGACACTTAAAATCCAGATGATGTCAAAGGACTGAAAAATAAATTACTTGGGAGATGCTCTGTGTAAAAGGCCTTTGCCATTTGCTTGTGTCACCGTTTAAAGACAGGTGGGCTAACTAGCTGAGTTGGAAGCCTAGCCCTCCCAAAGCAGGTAGATTTTGACTTCTCCAGATCCCTTGTCCAGAGATGTGGGAGGAGCCCTGCTTGGGTGATGTCCCCGTCAGCAGCCGGCCACTCACTGCTAAATGAAAGCGCTCTTTGCTCCACGGGGAAGGACTTTCTCAGCGAGTGTCTTACTGCCATGGCTTCCGTTTTTTTTTTTTTTCTCCCCCCCACCCCCCACCCTCTGAATATCAAAACGAGATAATTTTGTTTAGTCTGGAGTCCTCGTGTGAAGGCTTTTAGACCTATTTTCTCGGCAAAAGCATTCATAAGTTATGTGGAAACAATTTTAGGAATGCTGAATTTTGTTTTATGGTTAACAGAAACCAATCTCTTCGAGTTGAAAGAGTCAGAAACCCAAGACGTGAGACCTCCTGCACTCTTGGGCCGGCCTTCTACAGTTCAGGATTCGAGAGTGAAAGCCTTGGTGCATGTCCCATGCTTACCTGATGTTTATGAAATAACTCCTCCCCAAGGCGAGAGCCGTCTTAGGGGAGAGAGAAAGAGAGGAAGAAGAAAAAAACCCTCCTTTAAGGCAGAGCCATCTCCAAATCCTGTGAGATTTTGCATTTGTTGGCTTGAAGCTCTGGGTCTGTACAGAGACGCCAGTGGGACCGCAGTGGGTTGGTGCAGGCTGCATCTTGAGGGCTGCCAGGCCTTGCGCCAGGACCCCCTCCTTCAGATCCCTCCCACCCAAAGGGCAGTGGGGAGTTTTGTGTGGCGCACGGAACTGAAAGTGGTGGTGTGTGCTCGGCAAATCCTCACGTGGCACCTCTGAAACCAGCTGGCCGTGGTTATAAGAGGAAGCCAGCTTCTCCCGAGTACAGGAGAGAGAGCCGTATCGTCACGTGCAGAGGTGGGAGCAGTGTCTCTGCTCTGCCTTTGATTTCTAAGCACTGCTTAAGAGATGATTATCTCTTCAACTGGATGCTACTAGCTCGTGTCGAAATGTGGGGATTAAGAAATAGCAGAGAAGGTCTTTTCTTCTTCTTTTCGGTTTTTAAGAGATTCCCTCCTGTCTCCAGCTGGCAGCATATCCCACAGTTTTTCCTTTATGTCCTTTGTAGCTTTTGAGAGTTTATGATGGGTGCTTGTTGATACTGGCTGGCCAGGGAAGGGTTAGATTAGATTGATGAGATTTACAGCAGGAAATGATTGGCTGCCGCTTAGAGGTTTAAAGCATCCAGGATGGCCTCGCCTGGAAAAGGCATTATTCTGAGGACCCTGGTGGGGCTGACAGCATTCACAAACTAGGGTGAGTGAGGCCATCTGTCTGGTAGCAGAGGGCTTGCCTGTTCCGGTCCTGCACAGCCATCTGAATATTCATCCTAGACAGGGCTGAAGAAGGAGGAGTCCTTCCTGTCTAGCATAAGAAAGGCCTAAGACAAGCCTGGCGTGAGGAATGAGTGGTAGTGGTGGGCGCCCTCTCCCCTATGCACGTATCATAATTTCCAGAGTATTTTGATACAGATTTCTACCCATTCCATATACACGAGACTGTGCATTCCTGGTGAAGGCGCCCGCCAAGGTGAGGTTACTATGGATCTAGGTCTGCACAGGCAGCGAGCTGGAAACACCCCGTGGGATTTTCAGGAGACATGGTTTCTGTTCTTCACAGATGCGTATTTCTATGTACAGCTATTTTCAGTTAAATGATTTTGGAGGAGATTCCAAATTATCTCATCGTAGTGGAATTGTGTTACACTGACAGCAGCTAAAATTCAGTGGGTTGATAGCTGGGGCTGGCAATTACTTTCATTGTTCACCATTTTAATTACCACGGTTTTTGAAAAACAGGTTATTGGAGGTGTTTATACTCATTCTGTAATTATTTATTAAATACCAACTCTGTGGCACCTTCATTTGACAGGTCTGTCTGACATAAAAGTACTGTTTTATTTAAGAGGGCAGACAGGGGTATAATACTCTGGTATCAAATAAGAAACCCCGTCGGGCCAGCAGGTGAAAAGAACAGTAACAAGCCTGACCTTGTGCAGCAATTAGGAAAGAGGGAAGGAGTCACCTTCATTGGCAATCGGACCGCACATCTGTAGCCACTCTAAAGAGTTGAATGTCTCTGATGCTGGATAGCCAAATGTTAGTATTGTTTTTATATGCATAGACCAACTGACAAGCCATTGTAATAAAAAATGATGTTCTATTGTATATAGGCTTTAAAGCTAATTTAAAACAATGTCTATCTAGCACCCCCAAAGCAGGTAGATTTGGACGTATTTAAAACAATATCTATCATGGAATTTTTCAGATATTTAACAGGACTAGGAAAACTGCAGCAACTACCTGTCTACCCACCGCATGTTTTTCAGCCTCAGTTTTCATTTGTAATTTTTCTAAACATCTTTCTTAACACCAAATATCTTTCACACTGTACATTTTTCGTGCTGCAGAATTTCATTTAATAACTGTAATGTTCTTTTTAACCAATTATAGCCCTTTGTGAAGGAGAAGAATGTATGGGATCTAGTCCGATTTTCCTCTCGGACATCTTGGTTGACATCTCAGTCACTTAAGACTCAGTAACTAAAAACAAAAAAAAAA